TTCTTATACAAGAAGCTTGAGCCTGATTGGTTTTTTTCAGTCTAAGATTTACAAGCAAGATATGGGAGGAAGAAATTGCTTGCTTTTCATTCCGTAATTCTAAGGTTATTTGAAGGATTCCTAGAGTGAGCAAAAAAAAGTAGTACTTTGTATCAAAGCAGCTTTTAAGCAAATCTGGATCATGGGAGTTGCATCTGGAACAATTTTTGGGGGCTTAACTAAAACAGTGTACAAGCGACAAAGGAGACGATGCACTCGGGGCCAAAACGTTCCCCCACCCCGCTCAAGCAGACTTCGCTACTGTATTTGACAGACAACTTGTGTCGCGTTGCATGCATTGCGTGCGGACCCATCGCCCAAGTGCTGAGTCCCCGCGCGTAACCCTGCAGGTCGAGGTAAGTCGTCTGTTAAGTACAGTACTGGGGAGACGTGCCTGGACCGTGCCTTTACGTTAAAAAAAACTGGTTTCACGTTTGAAACAAAATTATCTTGCTCGAAGATAACCAACTCACTTGGTGGCCTAATATTTGGGGACCTAGCTTCGCTGAAACTTGGCTTACACAAACTATTTGACATGCTAATTGCGAAAATAATTTTCTTAGGTTTTTAGAGTTTGGCCCGTAGTATTCCCCCTTCAGGGGATCTGTTCTGAGACGGACCTGAGTTGATCGTATGGCGCCTCGGTCTAGCATCCCGCGAGCTATTGATCTAGATGCGGATCGCTTTTCAGGCACAAAAATCTTGCGCGCTATCAAAAAGGAAACACCTACACCTCTTGTGCAGGTTTGGTCAAACAGATATGTGACTGGTACTCAGACCGCACGACCGTGTTTCGGCACCGGACAGTGGCGAATTTTTGCGCATCACTGAGCAATCTTTAATAGCGGCCACCATCGAAGAAAATCGATGACGGCCCTATCAAGGAATCCACAAACCAAATGAATGCACAAAACAAAGCTGCGTTTTTTAACCAAAATTTCATCAAAAATTGAGGAATTAGAAACAAAATCGAATGGAAATAAATAAAGAGATCGTCGCTCTGAGTAGCTTTTGTAGAAAAAACCTAAGCAAACTCTGCAAGAAAGAAAAAACCTATTCTTCTGTGTTTTTTTGCCGAAATCAGCTGTTCGTTGATCCTTTCCTTTTTGGGCACCGGTATTGTGCAGTTTTGCGCTTTCTTGTACTGCAACTATTCAAGTACGATGTCCCGTAAGTTACTCACGAACAACTTACGTTATTTTTCTTTGCGTCTCATCCCTTGCATACTGTTTCGGTCAATTCATCTCAAAATCGAGGCGCTCTACGATTTTAGGTGAATTCATCGCGGCACATGCCCTGACGCTCCTTCAGATCAAGTCGCATTCTTAAGCATGTGAGAGTGATCGCTAGTCAGTTTATCTTGAATACCTCAACTCAGCCCTTCAGTTGAGATCTAAAGTGATGTGAGGATTACCGGGCCTTTTTTTGTTATGCTCACTGTACGTAACGAGAAGCTAAAACGATGCAATAATTTGCATTTTGGGCCTTCTGGCATGTTAATGAGTATCATGTTGTCGCTGGCACTATTATCGCCTCGACGACGAAGGAAATAGAATTACAATCTAAAATTACAGCGTTCCGCGGTTTATCATTAATCCGCGCTATGCTGTAATGTTAAGTCGAAGCTGTTTTCTCATATTCCTTGATTTCTTTATTGTGGTAGTACAATGGGTACTTCAAGCTTACGCATCACTATGGATTAGCCGTGTTCCAAAAAAAAATTTCAAGGTAGATAAGTTGTATACCTAATTCCCCACTCGCACTGACTTCACTACTCTGCAAATTATTGACTCTTTTCAAATTGTGCAATCAAAATTTTAGGGAGCACTGTGAAAACAGCTATTGCAGTTTACTTCATGTAACTTAAGAACGAAGCATGCGCTGAATTCCAAAGTCTTATTTAGCGACAAAGGCTCTGATTAGGCTAATGTAACAGCTTTCAAGTGTTTGGTTTTCTTTTTGAAGCAAAACAGGATTCTCAATGGCTCATACAGTTATGAAAAACGACGGTGGCTTGCTCCATCTTTCAAATTTGAATACTACCAGCCCTACGATATTGTGTTCAAAGAAATGCGTTAGCTTTTTGTACAATAAGGCTATGAGAGATCAAATGTTTAATTGTCAGAAAAAAACTGTAACTATCAATGTCAGTTAAAGACACTCTGTATGCATGCGACGAACAAACAAGCAGGTTCAGTTACTTTTTATATAAATTGAAATTTAGTTCATGTTCGGTGGCTTATCACCTCGCTGCCCACATCAATTTTCAGGGTTACGTTTCATTCGGGGCAGTAGCGAGGCCGCTGACAGCCCTGCTTTAGAATCACAGGAAACACAGATATTACAGGAGTGGTAATTTTCAACAAAGCATGCTGTGTACAAAGAAAATGTCTAGATTTATTATGTATCGTTACTATTATTTTTCTTATTCTAAGCTTTTACGGAGAAACTTAAAGGCAGTGGCCCGGTGAATCCTCGACTTGAGGACTTTTTTGCTTACTTAAGGCAGTTCGACGCGCTGAATCTGCATTCACCTTTAAAGCGCAAAAATGGCAAAAAGTAGCATTTCCTAAGGCTTCTCATTTTGGATCTGGTCGAGTGAAACACTAGCCGCCATAGTTAGAAACGTAGAGTCGTTGCGCATCATGTTTATAGAATTGCGTCATGTCGCCTCTGACAGTGAGAGGGCGCCCGAAGCTTGTTCGAGCGCATGTACGAGCGGCTTCCTCGTACGGCTTTAGGAGCGGTTTTCTAGGCAGGGGCAGCATACCTTGAACTCGGACCGGCTCTTTTCTCATGTTTGGGCACAGGCAGCCCTCCACATCAAATTTTTGTGATGTTTGGTCTAGCCGAGGCATTGCCCTTAATTATTTATAAAAAAGAGTAGTTGAGTAAATTTGTTATCAAATGGGTCTTGCATAAAAACGTCACTACTTTTTTGATTCACTAACTCATTCCTGCACTTTCGCTGAAAAAAAGTCTGTTACAATTATCTACTGCAATAATCACCAAGTCGCCAGTTGCAAAAATATCTGAATTTTGATATTATCAAAAAACTAGCTTGCTTACCCAGCTCCGCTCGGACCTGTCAAAACAACACTTCAATAAAGGTCGAATCTCTATCCCCGTACAGCCTTTCCCTGTGCCCACTTCTACACTTCATTTCCCGTTCCCTGTGTTGTTTTCGAAATCAGCATGCCCACTTAGCCCCCCCCCCCTGTGCCAAGTCTCAGCTCAGCACAAATTTCAAAAAAAATCGATTAGAATCGATCAGTGATGGATACTTTCAGAAACTAATGTTGTATTCGTAATCAACGTGCTCACGTACCCTCCCCCCTGTGCCAACTCCCAGCCCTGTAGGTAATTCTGCAAAAAAATCAAAAAAATCAATAAAAGTGATCGAATTCTGGAAACTGATATTGTATTCGAAATCAACACAAAAAATCGAGCTCAATTACCCCCCTCCCCCTGTGCCAACTCCCAGCCCTGTAGATGAACTTTGCAAAAAATCGATAAAAATCGATGAAATCGACATCGATCGACAACGAAAAGTAGCCTATGACATGACATCCGCCCGCGCCATAGTGTATGTGTGCCAAGTTCGTTCCGGATCGGTTAAAAAATGGAATTTTCTGTTAGAAACGTACGTACACACATACAGACAGACATACAGATATACAGACAAACAGTCAGACACACATTCAGCTTCATATATGAGACATGCATGTTTTGCCTGCCGTTTACGATTGAAACCGATCGCACCACCGAAAGCTAGAAAATTGAGTCAAGAAGGCTAAAAAACCCAAGTCTAAGAAAAAGTGTTCAAATTATCGATATATGTCAGCAACTGCCTACATTTGTTGATTCAAACACGTTTTTTGAACATCAAAGGAGTAGTGCAATTACCGTGCCTATTATGTCCACTACCGTATGACCTACACTAAAATAGTGTTTTGCTGATCTACACCCAGGGTTCGGCATTGGTGGCTTACAAGGCAACTAAACATCGTTTTGGAATAAAGCAAGGGGGATATCGTTGAAGAGGAAACCCCAGCCCCTCCTCCACCCCCTACACACACAATCGCCTTCTTCCTTCATGTCACCTTTCATCTTCAAAAAAAGGACGCAAATTTTCACTCGTGTCTTATCGACCCCATTCCTGCAAACAAAATCTCCTGCTTTAACAGGTTCGCCGGGTAAGCGCAATTCAAACTTGCCCCGAAATAAACAAAAGACTTTGCTTACAGTGAAGATAAAATGAAATGACACCAAATTTGGTGTGTAGATGGGCAATAAGGAGCTAGGACTATACGTGAGAAAAGTTATGAAATTATTAAGTGAGGTAAAGGCGTGGCAAACTTTTTTCGGAGTTATGTTCTTTTCAGCCACCTGGGCAGCCACCTGAGGTGGCTGTTATAAAAAAGTCACAAGTTTTCCTTCCTTCACATAATTTTTTCACTTGTTTGACATAACTTTGTTCTACATCAAAAACCCTACAACTGAGTTTCTGAATTTTCCTCAACCCCTCTTCTCCGCATAGTTACAGCCCTCTACATATTTTGTATGGCGCCGGCAAGTCTGTTCCAAGCGCGCAGGGTGCGCGCAGGACACAGCATGCCAATTTGTGGATATGGACATTTTCAGCTTTTTTCAGCTCTTTTCCGTCTCTTCAATGTTTTCTTCAAGTTTTGTTCAATTATTTTCCGTTATTCGTTTCTATCCATTCATGATCGCGTCATAGGCGATATTGTATTCTTGTGTCAAAGTCTACGGGGATTTCGTTTTTAAAAATTTGAAAAATCCTATGGTCCACCTCATGCCGAACTCTGGCTACACCTTACCTCAAACGATTGATGTTAAATATTGTATGACTTTTATCGAAAGTATTTTGCTGAGCTACACCTTACCTCAAACCTATTGTGCTACACCTTACCTCAAACCTATTAGTTTAGAAAAATTACCTTGTAAATTAACTTCATTCCTTGAGTATCGGCAAAATTCTCCTCTTTAGTTCTATGCAATTTGTCTTCAGAGTAGCCTAATTTCTGCAAAGACAATTTGTTACAAAACGAGTGATGAAATAAAGGAAGCCAGCTTAACCTTTAGGGGTTCTTCATACATTGTTTGCATAAGCGTCATATTTGAAAAATGCTTTCTAAGAAAATCTTCTGGTAAACTATTGTCTAGCTTGCCGTACTCATTTCGTGTTGCTGCAAAATTCTCTGACGATCCAGAGTATCGTCGTGAAAGCAAACAAGCTTAATTTTAATACTGTACTTATCGTTTAACTTATAAAGTTTATATCAGCAAAAATTAAAATGGGTACGTCAATGTAAATGTTTTTACCAATCATCACAACACCGAACTATTTGATTTCAGGCATAGTAGGAAGTCAAATCATGCCCTTTTCATTTACACAGGGAGTAGGCCGCTGTTCTGAGAGTACTCAGACAATAATTCGGGCGAACGCAATGCCTTTACCGGGCGAGCGATCATGCCTCTCGCCGTCCTTCCCCTAACAAACGCCGCTCGCCCGCAAGAGACAATGAAGTTTTCGGGCGGAATACCTTGAACAAACGACTAATCATGCCTCTCCTCAGCCTACTCGGCTATACCGCGCGCTGCTTGCAGCACTCCATGTCTACAGCCTGCGGCCACTGATTCAATAATGCACTTGTTTTGGTGAAAACACATTCTGATTTGTTCATACATATATTGATGGTTAATTTATTAGGCTGGAAACTAAGTTTTGCAACTGGTTTTAAAGCTTCACTTTCTTTGGATATGGCGCATCCAAACTTTGCCATTACGTAGAAGGCAAAGTGAGCTACAAGAGAGCACAAATTGTCTAAATTTTGAACACGAAATAGAAAAGTTTCAGACGTTTTTCGAATACTAGTGAAATTTGAGAATTTTTGGGGTTTTAAGCTAAAATGAAGCCTTTGGCAGCCTATGCGCAGTAATCCAGATTCGTCTACAAATTATTGCTGGAGATTGACTTTTTTGGCCCTAGTAAGAAAGAAACAAAATTTAGGGGCATGTCGAGATTTGGCGTCCTCATAAATTTGAACGAGTCGATGTACGCAAGAGCTGCTGGGGACGAACGTCAATGACTAAAGAGTCCGAAGCTCAAATTCTTCCGAGACTTTACATAGTAAGGTTATTTGACCTGCCAAACGCGAATATCACATTCATTTGTTGAATCAACGCCTTTGTCCTTGTTTAGGGTGAGACCCCATATCGTACACCTACAGTAATCCTACGAAAAAGCCCTAATCACGCAATTTCAATATCCTTTTCGTGATCAGCATGTCGGATAACACCCCTGTGTCAAGTTTCAGCCAAATCCGTCAAACTTTGAATTTTTCCCCTTCATACCACGCACCTACCGTAACCCTCACTGCGACGTCAGAATTTGGTAGGACAGCAGCTGCGCGTGTAGATTATGTAATAGCCAACGCAGCGGCAAAATTTGAGCGCGCCATGTTTAGTGAGAGGGAAGTTATGAGACCAGTTCGAAACTTAGTTTCCAACCTAATATTCAAAAAAAAACTATAATTAACGAACATATACTCATACTACAAGAAGTGCATACAGAATAAGATTAATATAAAATTTTCTACGTGAGATACAAGGTGGGAATTACGTGGCAGTAGATGCCAATTTAGTTTACCTTTGGTAGAGCACCACACGATAAAGCAGAAAATTTCTGAAAGAAAGCTGAATAGAGTACATATAAAATCTTAAAATCATATAAAATCTATAAATTTTTATAGAAAGCGAATCATGTAGAAAGTGTTGCGGAATCAGCTTAGCTGCATTTCACTCGGATATTAGGAGTGTGGCGATTTATGCAAAAGCACATCAAGTATATTCTACGTCCCATTCATTTACTACGTTTCCCACTCCAAACTTCGTTCACCTCACATTAATTTCATCTTGTCAACTCTCAATCTTTGTAAAGACAGCAACTCTTGCCTTCGAACATTCTCCGGAAGATAGGCTATCTGAAACTGATGCCGCTAGTCATTCACTGAATTTTATAATTTACCTCTTCGCATCAGAAACTACCTTCATCTCCTATTTCTGAGCTTACGTTCATGTGATTTTATGAGATCCATCGTAAATGACAACGGCTAATTCATAATCATTTTAGCAGCTCAAGATGGCAACCATGCCATGGAAAAAGCAATGACAAAAGTGAATACCAACTAAAGAGAAAATTGTAGTATGATCCAAGATAAGGACTATGATAATGCTGGCAAGCCGCTTGTCCGCCCAAAGAGATGGCCTGGCCTTGGTGAACGCAAAGTCCGCCGCATGCAAGCTCGGTATCGAAGGCACGCTGCTCGCCCGCACAAGACCACCCCACAATTTACGGCTCGCCGCCCGTCCGGCAAAGCATGAAGGCCCGCCGTTCGTTTGAGTTATTGTCTGAGTATATATGCATCATGTATATGTATTTACGTCTTTTCAGTCTGCAGTTTTCATTACGATTGAAAAAGACCAAAATTGCAAATCTTTTTCCTCTTTTTTTAAAGATTTTGACTTGATGATGGTTGATGTGTCATGTCAAAAAATGGTTTCTTGTTACTAAGTAAAAACAAGCCCAGTTGCATAAACATGTGCGGTAATTCCTACAAAGTACCGAAGAAGATGAATTGCCTCGGATCAAAATTTGTACAAGCTCATGCTTCAATAAGGCAACTCGCTTTGCACGTTGTTTGCAGATCGGTTGTCGTATGAGAGCTCAATCAAGTGCCGCATAGATGAGTCTACACCCGTTGAGAATCTCCATCTAATCGTTTTTCAAGACGCTAACAGCCACATTCAGCATCTCTCACATTTAGAAGGCGGCATATTGGTGCTCTATGAGAATTCGTTAACAACATATTTTTGTTTCTTTCATCCATCAATATGTCCAATCAGACTACGGGGTTTCGAAAATCTGCTGACAAGGGAAGCTGTTTTAGTCGAAATGGCGTTCACAAGTGAGACTCATACCAGTTTGAAGAGCATTGCACATTAGCCCCAAATCTGCCTTCATTATCTGCCGAACGCCTTCTGGACACCAAGTTATGGTCGTTTTTAATGGAAAAGAATTTCCTTTTTGGAAAATGGATGCAAAGTTTAAGTGAGTTGTTACAATCTTTTCAGCGCTCAGATGAAGCAGTGTTAAGTATTAGCATATACGACAAAATGTATCCATAACTGGTCTTATACTCAACACCGGACCATTTGAGCAGACTTGGGCAATTTTGTTTCCGTTTGGTGTTCAGTTTGACCCAATAAACGCCCACTACTCGGCGTCCAAAAGCGCTTGACAGATGATGAAAGCAGATTTGAAATCATTGTGCAGTACTTCTTAAAGCCTCGTTTAAAGAGGCTACTTCGACTAAACACGCTTTCCATGTAAGCTAGCGCATGAAAAGTTGGGGCAGGGGGGGGGGGGAGAGGAGGTCAAATGCCTACATATACGCGGTGTCCATAACTAGGTACATACTTTTTGATCGTTCGTAAATAAATTCTCAATGAGCCTTCTCCTTAGCTTCAACTAGCATTTAGTAGAGGAGGCTTCAACTTGATTTACATATGGAGCGAATTACCCTGAACGGGCCTTAAGTGGCTAGATATTTTTAAAATAGATGCCGGTCCGAAAGCTTTATAATTAGGCCAAACTGAGTGGGTGCGGGAACTTACCTACCCGAAAGACTTGCCGCAGCGTACCTTAGGTATCATGAGCAGTTCGAATATGCAATTAATATAGTGTACAGAGCCTAGTCTGTGTGTATTGTAAGCCCCGCCCCATTCATCGACCCTTTCGTGATGCATCGCGGGAATTCAACACATTCACAACATTGATGTTCAGCAACAATATCTGCTCAAACTCGACGAAAATAGATTAAGGGGTTTTCTGAGGCGCTCTCTTCAAATATGTTATTGGTTTTGCGCTGCCTTTTCTTACAGGAGCCGAAACTTTGCTTTGGTGAATTGACTTTTAGCTTGAGAAATCTTGACAAAGAAAAATAAAGCAATAGCCTTAGGACGCATGTAAAACTGCTTTTTCACCTTTTCTCTCGGAACATTGTTCTGAGAAAAAAAAGTGAAAAAGCAGTTTTCTAGTGAGAACAGCATGCCCTGAGGATGTGACCTTAATAATAAAAGACTGTGAAGGTGAGCTAGTCTATCAAACGATCAATGTGTACAGGACGCTGCACATGTTTTTGTGATTTAAATATTTTATCTATATAATTGATATATATTTATAAATGTCTTGGTTCCATGCCAAAAGGTGCTTTGTGTGGGCAGGGCTTAGCTTAGCGCTATATCCTAAGGAGCATCTAGAATCAGCGAGCTCGCTATGCCTAATTATACCCCGCGGATAGACACCCATGAGGTGCGAGAATATCTCGGGTAGGTAAGTTCCGTTCCCCAAACTGAGTGGCTGATTATTGAAATGAATTTCGCACCCGTAAGGCTTTTTTCATAATTATGTCAAGTAAATCGCAACGATGATTTTTAGTGCTTTTAAAACTTAATAGGACCATTTAAAACTGAAAAACCACGAACAGTTGCTTGATGAAGCCTGCTACACGATTTTCTAAAACTTTTATTCAAACCATCTATTTCACAATGATGCTCTATGCTGGAAGTCCATACTATTCCTAGAGTAAACGGCGATGAGTAACTTGTTCCATACTGCAAATCTAACAATAAGTTGACTCTTTCGGTCTAAATGGTACTTGAACCTATGAAAAGGCTTGCTAGGATGAAAGTTATCGAGGATCAGAAAGCGTGTAATTACTTTTGGGACTCCCCGTATGGTGACCAAACGGCGTTCGCGGTCTTGCACGATTATGGTGTTAATTTTAATGTCAAGGAAAAGATTACACTTAGCAAGAAGGAATTTTTTTTGCATCCCCTGCTTAGAGAATTGACGGGCAGGCGGTCATGCGATTTATGGGCAAGCGAGCATCGGTATAGTCCGCTGATTTCTTGCGATTCGCTTGCAAAATCTGGAAGAATGTCGGCCAAATTTAGACCATGCTCAAAGAAACATTGCGAATTTTTCATATATTAGTTGCGGCGCAGTAGCCGTAGGCAAAATTATTGAAAGCCGTGCGGTTTTCGTGGACACACCGCCAGCAGTACCCCAAACTCGAGTAATTAAAGCATCGGTGACACCTTTGCCATGTAAAATGTTACCGCT